AAAAAAAAGGATACAAAGGAAGGACCATTTTGTATCAGTATATTCAAAATAGTTAAGATAGATATACAGCTACTTTCTCTTAATTCAATGAATAGAAAGATTTGTACTAATAGTGTTTGGACAGGATATCATGTCTGCATCTTGTACTATGAATAACCACTAAGAAGACAACAGTGTGTAATGTATTAATTATTGAAACTGTCCTACTAATTGTTTTTGAAACTGTCTCATTGTTATTTGCTTCTCAATAAAATTATTTAAAGAAAAAATCTTCTGACATACTTATTTGTTTTAACCAAAAGTTTAAAAGTAAAGATTTTCTACTCTACCACTTTTTTAGTTGAGCTTTAAAAACATTTTGAAAAACTTCAAAACATTTGAGACTTTTGTGCATTCATGTAATTTCCAGTGTTAACAAACAGTACTATGATACATGAACTTTTGATTTTTTTTTTCCTTTTGAAGAGAGAATAAGCCAGGAATGGCAGCACAGGCCTCTGGGTGGCTGAGACAGGATGGCTATAAATTCAAACCCAACCTGGGCAACTTAGTAAGAACCTGTCTTGGTGTTTGGAATTAGAGGCTGCTTGGGTGCTAGTGCAGTATCCATCTGAGTAAGAAGACTTAGGAGTCCACTGGTGACCAAACAACTCAGAGATCCTGACATAAATCTTTGCTTATCACAATTTGATACTTCTACCAGATGTATGGATGAAAATAACTATAACAGGGAAACGTGTTCCAGTTGCTTATTAAAGTACAACAACTTCCAGAGATTCAGGAATTCTATCCTGGTCAAAAGAACACAGAATGGAGTAAAGCCTATTATGCCTACTGCAGCAGAAAGAGCTGAAATCTTGGGAGCAATGGGAAAGATGCCCTATTGAATGTTCGCATTAAAATTGATTGTATAACTAGAAGCAGATGTATATTTTCTATTAGTGATTAATCTTTTTAAGATTGGACTGGTCTCACCCAAATGGATTATAAGTAGACCATGCAGTTAGTCCTGTGTCCTTGGGATCTTTCCTCACTGCCATCAAGCCAGTGTGTCACTTCTGTGCTAGCCCTAGAGGCCAGGGGATATTAAAGGGCAGTAGATCACAAAGGAAAAATGTGAACCAGCAAGGCTTAGTTGAGTTGAGAGGAAGTGCTGTTTCTAAGGAAAGGAACTGTGAGCACCTACATGACAGAAACAAAACGTGAACCACATTTATAGCATCTTGACGCTTATACTTGGTGTCTAGCGTAAGTGGATCCTGGTACTCTGGGATCTTTAAACAGAAGGATTATGAGTTCAAACTCAGCCTTGGAAACTTTGACTTGTGAGATACTGCCTGAAAATTTAAAAAAATAAAAAGGCCTGGGATGTGGGTAGGTGCGAGGGCCCATGGTCCAATCCCCAGCACCAGCACCAGCACCTGGAATGGTCAGTTGTAGGTAGGTGAGTGGTGGGCATCATCCCAACCCTAGAATCTCTGTATTTATGCCACTTACATTTGTTTGACTCTATTTAATATACTCATCAGGAGAGAAATGGTTGTGGAAAGATTGGCCAAAATAATGATGTGAAAAAGAATTGGTGGTCTTCAAGGAAAGGCTTTAGGTACAGCATTCTGGGATGAATCTGTTACAGCATAACCTGAACCCTGAGGTCTTGAGTCATGGTAATAGAGGAAAATGAATCCCCTTGGAAGTAGCGTTTGTTTGCAGGATGGCATGGACAGGAACATCTATGGGAGATAAGCAGGAGAATCCAGCCCTGGCCAGAAACTGGGGCTTAGCTACATTTTATGATAGCAAAATAATACTGCAGCATGGTGAGGTGACTTGTGTGGGGGATTTTTATATTCACTGACTTTTAAAGTCAAGGTTATTTACACAAGCTTGTAAGGATACATCTTTCAATAAAAGTTAATACACTTTAGAAACCAATGAAAACAAATTCCTGTATCTTTCTCATCACTTGGGCCTTCATCAGGACCATCATTTTTGTAGTTGGTGCCAATGCATTGAGACCACAACCCAATTCAGATATTTTCAAGCCATATGACCTGGACATTTTTCTGTGTTTTTTTTAGTAGAACAAGTCTGCAGTCCATAATGTTTACATTTCCTCTGTAAAGTTGCTACATGCATGTGACATCTGAATTCCTTTTTTCATCTTTTTTCACCTCCATCTCGATCCCTTGCCCATTTGATAAAGATGTGCCTACTTCCTCCTACCTACTTTTTATTTTGGTTTCTCATATGGGAGAAACGATGAATATTTAAGTATGTGTGTCTGATTTATTTCACTAACAAGGTCTCAGGGTGCATCCATCTTCCAGCAGATGACGCAGAGTTATGCTTGTGTCAGAGTAGGAGCTCATGGTGTGTGGATGCCACATTTTCTTTATGAATTCACCTGTTGATGGACCAGGAGGGTGCTAGACAGGGATGTAGAAATTATGGTATTAGAAACTGTGCTGCTATACACACCTGTATCACTCAATACTGTAATATGTCTGTAATTCTTGGGAACATAACTAGAAGGCTCTGGCTGAGTTGAGAGAAATGTCTGTGTTGTTTGAGACCTCTTCATAATGATTTCTATAATGGTATTAGTTTACATTCTCATCAACAACATAGAAAGTTTCCTTTCCTCTGTAGCTTTGTTGGTGTTTAGTAATTGCCTTATTGATATTCTTTCTGGAGTAAGAGAGAATCTTAGTATTGTTTTAATTTGCATTTCTCTAATGATAAGCAGTGTTGAACAATTTTCATGATTTATTGGCCATTTTCCCTTCTGAGAAATGTCTATTCATTTCAGTTGCTGATTGTTGAATGTTATTCTATTTGAATAAAGAAATTTTTTTAAAAGAACATGTCTCAAAAAAATTATATAGGATTGGGGATGCAACTGAGTGGAAGACCTGGATTCAATCCCATTGTTATATATAAATAA